CTTGAAATAAACAAACAAAATACCTCACGGAACTGCTGGCTACCCAAATAAAACATAACTACCAGCCAGTAGCCCCTCGCGGACTGTTGGCTTGCCAAAATAAAATAAAACAAAAACACAAACAAAAGCCGGCCTGTTCCTTTCTCGATCATCCACCCCGTCGCTCCCCCTTTATGCTTCCGCTTCTCCATTGACCTTATTCAGAGCAGCGCCATGACGGGTATGAAAGTGAGGCTGTGAGGGATAGACTTCCCGTGTTTCCAGTGGCATCCGCTGTAAAAAGCTGAATAAAGCGGCTGGATTACTTACAATTTTCCACAGCTTACATTATCGGGATTTTTTTGTCAACTGACATTTCTTGGAAAGATTTTTTTCCAGTGTTTTATGAGCAGAACAATCCGAAAACACATTAAATAACAGTACAGCCCATTGAAGAGATGCAAGTCTATCCCTCACAGCCTCGCTTTCATTCTCATTAAAAATCAAAGATGGCGCTGCCGTGAATAAGGCATATTACCCCGTTTCCACCAAGGCAGAGCTGGTGCTGGTTCAGAGCCAGAGCCTAGTTTCAAATCGGTTCTTTTTTTTTTCGACCACCAAAGCACCAGCTCCGAACCAGTAAAAGTGGTTCTTAAGTAGCACCAAATCATTGCTGGTCTAGAAGTAAGTACCGCTTACGTCAGCGGCAGGGAGCGGGGTTACCGTGACCAACAAGACGAACAGAAACTTGTGATCACCATTTTTTAAAAAGTAGCTAAACATGCTAATAGCAGCTCTATTGTAATCTCCGTTAATGCAAGTTACGGCGAGCTGCACGGATGTGCTGGATTCGCCGTGTTTGGATACCGATGTTGGTTTGCAAAGCCATGAGCGCATAAATAGTAACGCAACAACCGCCATTGTTGATGGAAGGCTTGTTCGAGATGCATCGGAGCGGCGGGATTAATTGGAGAGCATACGACTCCTGTCGAGATTCGCAGTGCCGAACCATTTCGAACAAACCTGTTGTGTTTGTGTGTGCCGCACTAGCGTTGCTGGGCAACATGAGATGTATACAGTGACGTAAGATCTGGCTCTGTGATGGCTCTCTAGCCTGTGGAAAGACAAACCGGTTCTTTGAAAGCTCATCAGTCGAACCAACTCCGGCTCTAGCTCTAGCTTTAACCAGCACCTGGTTCTTGTTGGTGGAAAAGGGGTACGTGAGAGATGCGAGACCGGTGTGCTTCAAAGGTGCTGCTCATTAGCAATCGCACCACCGGTCTCGCGACGTTCTCTCACGTCCCTTGACCGTCCTGCTCACCACAAAGACATAGTACATTAAAATCATACAGATTATTGAGGAGAGATGTGCTATTATTAATGCGATTCATTAGGATAGTCACTTTGGGTTTTTTTTATGGCATAGAGGTTCTTGCAAGTGTTATCTGTGAACATGAAACTGAGGCCTGTGATGTGATTTCGTCCTTGCATAGATGTTATATCCGGCACTATTTAGGTGTGTATCACCAGAGCTCATGTTGAGATCATGACAGAACCAGGTCGTGTGCATAGAAGCGGCGTTTGATCCGTCAATCATCAGCTCTCTTTCATGGGTCTTTCTGCATCACGCAATTAGTTATGAGGTTGTAACTGATTCCCATCCATTGCTATTTATATGGCTAAATTCGGGGAGATTCATAACAAGCAACTTCTTGTTAATTAGAGACAATTTATAATCCGCTTCTGAATTCAAATGTATGTTGATATCCTATGAAAGAATTCAAGGTGATTTAACCAGTATCACGATTTCTTAAAGGGATACTCCACTTTTTTTGGAAATAGGCTCATTTTACCACTCCCCCAGAGTTAAACAGTTGAGTTTTACCGTTTTTGAATCCATTCAGCCGATTTTTTGATATTTAGAAGAATATCAGTAACCAGACAGTTTCTGGTCTCATTGACTTCATAGTAGGAAAAAAATATATACTATGGAAGTCAATGAGACCAGAAACTGTCTGGTTACTGATATTCTTCTAAATATCAAAAAATCGGCTGAATGGATTCGAAAATGGTAAAACTTAACTGTTTAACTCTGGGGGAGTGGTAAAATTAGCCTATTTCCAAAAAAGTGGAGTATCCCTTTAAAAAACATTTCTATATAGAAATACTTCTAAAGCGGTTTTGTGTAAATGTTATAAAAATGCTGAACACATTTTGATTGTTGGCATCATTTTAAAGAGATGACTTTTGCTTTTCTGATTCTGGCTGAATTCCTAAGCTTAGAAATTTGAAACCACATATATTTTATTTTCCTTTTATATTGTATTTTTAATGAGTTTTAAGCTCAAGGTAAATTCCCCAATGATTACAAAAACAATTTTGAGTTAATTCTATTCATATTAAAGGCATTATGAAGACTAGACTGAGAGATTGAACGTTGAGTTATGAGAAACAGCCTGAGGGAGTTGAGGGCCATGACCCAGAATCCTCTTCTCTCTACAGCAACTTTACCCTTTGACCTGAATGATCAGTTCATGAAACGCAGGACTGATGCTTAGTTAAATCTGCAGCACTTTCAGCAGAGAGCAGAAAGAAACCGGGTCAAGCAGAGGGTCCTGGCTTTATGACTGTGATTTTAAAATAGCTAATGGTTTTTAATGACCATAATTAACACGATATTGAGTCGTGCGCTGGGCACATCTGGGCTTAAGAGCGGTCAAGTCTCATGTGGAGAGCCGCTCTTTCTGTCTTTTTCAGAGATTCCCCCTGAGCAAGAATTAGCTTTAAATTTATTCAATTTGGGTTTCATTTGTCTGAAGTTCTTAAACAAAAGATTTAATATTTATATCTGAATAATAAATAGCCTGTTCTACGGTTAGCACTGATAATCAGAAATTTAATGTAGAATCGGAAAGTTATTATCATAAAATATATTTAATAAAATAAAAATAAAAAAATAAAAACAGGCTGCTCATCAGGACCCACTGACACAATGCAATACAAATATATTTATAAAAATACAAATACTTCACTGTTTAAAATTTTTAGGTCAGTAGGAATTGGTCACACTTTTTGCGTTGAACTATAGCTTGACTTTTGCCACTTAACTCCTAATAAGTAGTTATTATTAGTTATTAATGTAGTTGTTAAGTAACAGTATTGTAAAATGATTAAGGGATGTAGATTATGGTTGTACAGAATAATATGTACTTTATAAGTACTAATAAACAGCCAATATTCTAGTAATGTGCATGCTAATAAGCAACTAGTTAATAGTGAGAATGGGACCCTATTACCAATTTGTATTTTTATTTAAATTTTTTTGGGAAAGAAATGGATGCTTTTATTCAGCAATGAAGCATTAAATCGATCAATATTGATTGTAGAGTCATGTATATTGTCAAAAGACATTTAATAATATCAAAGAAAATGTTGTCAGTTTACACAAAAATATGAAGCAGCAGTTTCTTGAACATCAAATCAGCTTTTTTGAATGATTTCTGAAGAATCATGTGACTGAAGACTGGAGTAATGATGCTTAAAAATCAGCTTTGATCACAGGAATAAATGATATTTTTAAATACCTTACATTAAAAAAATTGTATTTTGAATTGTAAAAATATTTTACAATATTACAGTTTTTACTGTATTGTTGATCAAATAAATGCGGCCTTGGTGAGAAGAGAATTAAGAAAAACAGTAAAAATGATTATATGTTTTTTATATTGATAATATATATTTTTACAGTACATCTATTGTAAACATTATGATGACGAATATATATATAACATGCAGGTTTATAGAGTACCAAAGTGATGACGTCACTTTGTAGGACAACTCGGAAGCAATCGGCGCATGGGTTCCCTTGATCGAAAAGATATGCATTTTCCCCATAGACTTTTGGAAAATCTCCAAAAATAAGATCTGTGTTCAACAAAGAGTTTTGACCCTTACACGTTTTGTCCATCAAGATAATCTTCAAAAATTAATCCAAAATGTATACATTTTGAAGCCTCTATAAAGTTTTTAAAAAACACAAACAGACACAATAAAGTTTAAAAAACCACAAGCAGGTTATAGCCGGTGTGTTTTATGTCATAAATCAAAACGTGAAAATATGTAGAGGCTTTGTTCACCACAGACCTTATTTCAGGCGATTTAGCAAAAACCCATTCAAAAATCCCATAGGCTTTAGAGCGAGGGAACCGGGAGTGCTAATATGCTAACTCACTTCCGCGTTTTGGCCTACAGAGTGACGTCGCAACTTCGGCACTTTATAGGCTGATTGAGGTAAAAAATGAATGTCTTAAAACTGCCTCCACACTAGCATCAACTCAAATGGCCCCAAGGTCAATGCCACTGCAGTTGGCAGTGAGAGAGAGAGAGCACAGCACCTGCGTGTCCCACCACAATCCCACACCTGCCCTATCAGCCTCTCACGGGCTTCATAGACTCTCATTGAGGCAACTCTCACTCTCTCGTTCATACGCAAACACACAGCATTCATGTTTTTCTTCAAGGTAGGTGTACGCCTGGCCGTCTGCCCAGTGACGGATTAATTGCTTTGGAATAGTGCCACTCTTTGGGAGTTGAGTTTACCCTGTGTGTGTTTTCATGCAGAGCTGTGCCATCTGCCTCTGTGGCACCGCCATTGCCATCAATAACACACACACAACAGTTCCCAGTTCACTTGGCACAGGACTTTGTAAAAGTGTCTCTAATGTCTCTTTGAGTAATGTATTATCGGCCATGTGTTTCTCATAATGAATGGTTTATAAGATGTGACTGCCATTCCTGCTGACACACTTATGGTTGGGGATTTCAGTAAACCCCTAACAGTAGCATTACACTTTGCTATGTAATCATTCCCTCACCATTTATGGAAATGAATGATACCTATACTGATAATGGTACTGATATTTAGTAGATGCTTTTGACATATAAGGAACATCACAAGTAACTTCTGTCTGTGTTTTCGTCCCTCTGGATGTACACTGACGTGTTTGTGTTCGTCTCCTCAGCTGCTGGGTTTCATCTACGCCTGCTACGTCATCAGTGTCATCACAGAGGAGGAGGACAGCTGTGAGTATCTTTAGTGTTTGTGATAAGAGAACAAAATGTAAGTCTGTCCTACACTTTCTTTCTTGTTTACGTGTCTAAACCTGTTCCTTTTTTCATTTTATCATAAAGAAATGTGCCTGTCTGATTGTACTCTAACATAAACATTGAGGAGATGATGGTTCTCTGTCCTTATAGCTTTGTTTTGTGAGAAATATATCTAAACCATATGAATTATCAATGTTGAAGAATGTGAAATATTGATGTAAAAAGCCATTTTTTGATCCATGGGAAGGGGAGCACACTACTTGTGAGAAACACTATATTACTAAACTCACTTTGTAAAATGTGTGTGTGTGTGTGACTCACTGACTCATGGGGACTTGTCCCATGATGGAAACAAGCTTATAAATCATACAGAATGAGTTTTTTTTTTTTAAAATGTACAAATCTGTGATGGGTTGGTTTAGGGGTATGGTTAGTGTAAGGGGAGAGAATATGGACAGTATAAAAACCATTACGTCTATCGCTCTCAGAAAAAAAAGGTACAAAAGCTTTCACTGGGGCTGTACATTTTTGCACCTTAATGGTACATATTAACACCTAAAATGTACATATTAGGACCTAAAATGGATATATTGGCACCTAAAATGTACGTATTAGGACCTAAAATGGACATATTAACACCTAAAATGGACATAATTTAGGACCTAAAATGGACATATTAGCACCTAAAATGTAAGTATTAGGACCTAAAATGGACACATTAGCAACTAAAATATACATATTAGCACCTAAAATGTACATATTAGGACCTAAAATGTACATATTAGCACCTAAAATGTACGTATTAGGACCTAAAATGGACATATTAACACCTAAAATGTACATATTAGCACCTAAAATGCACATATTAGCACCTAAAATGTACATAGTAGGTCATATTAACACATAAAATGGACATATTAACACCTAAAATGGACATATTAGCAACTAAAATGTACATATTAGCACCTAAAATGTACGTATTAGGACCTAAAATGGACATATTAACACCTAAAATGTACATATTAGCACCTAAAATGTACATATTAGCCATTAAAATGTACGTATTAGGACCTAAAATGGACATATTTGGACCTAAAATGGACATATTTGCACCAAAAATTTACATATTAGCACCTATAATGTACATATTAGGACCTAAAATGGACAGATTAACACCTAAAATGCACATATTAGCACCTTAAATGTACATATTAGGACCTAAAATGGACATATTAACACCTACAATGTACATATTAACACCTAAAATGTACATATTAGGACCTAAAATGGAAAGTTTAAAAAAAGTTTACCTTTTGAAAAGGGACAGCCCCAGTGACAGATTTTGTACTTTTTTTTCTGACAGTGTATTTAGAGTCCCCACAAAGATAGTGAACCAGACGTGTGTGTGTGTGTGTGTGTGTGTAACATTCTTGGAAGATGTCAGTACAGACAAAGATAGCCAATCAGATTACAGTTCGCAAGAAAGTGCTTTCCAGTGCCAACTGTTATCAATGATTCCTCTAAATGCTGAGTTGTTTCAACCCAAATTTGGGTCAAATCTGGACAAACCCAAGTGTTGGGTTAGAAATGTAATTTCAACTGTACATTTTTTAAATTACATTTTTAACCCAACATTTGGGTGTGTCCATATTTGACCCAAATTTGGGTTGAAACAACCCAGTATTTTTTTAGAGTTTACCATTTTGGAATTTCGTTCCTGGATTGACGAGGGCCATAGGAATGCACTTCACGTCAATAATACAAAACAGTTTGCAGTGCATAAACAGTGAATATTTGCTCTTGGCAGGATAGGCTGAGTGAGAGAGGACCTGAGTGAAGCCCACGGGGTGCGATAAGCCACTGCCCTGTTTGTACGGGCTAAACACCAGCCTTCCTCTGATTATTAGTGCTTTCCCCTGAGTTACTGGCCTTTCCATGACTAAACATTCCCTGCAGAGCCGAACCTCGCTGACAGGAGGGACTCGACCGCGCTGAAATAGTAGACTTTTATCCGTTACAGCCACTTCCTGTTTGCCTTTGTTTTCTGATGGTCTTTGAGCGTCATCACTCGACGGGAGGCGGCCAGTCTTTTTTGTGTTTTCTAGGCAGCGTACATGTGCTCGGGTGAACTCTATACTTATGCCCCGTTCAAATGTACCACCAGTAAAGTGTTTGCAAGTGCACAGAGGAACGTTTTATTGCTTCGAGGTTTATTCATAGCCATGGGGATTTGAAGACCACATGAAATCCAAATGGCTTGCATGCCTGTTAGCTCTGAGGCCGTCGGTATGTTAGTGCGCTGCTAAAAGTTTGCAAAATAAACTTTTAGTACATGTGAGGGGATAAAAATGACTATCTTCCTCTTCCAGACCAAAGAAATATAAAAGCACAGTCTTCTTCACACACTCTAAAAATCATTGTTGGTTTAACTTAAAAAAATGAAGTAACCTGGTTGCCTTAAAATTTTAAGTTCATTAAAAATAGAAAAATTGAGTTAATACAATGGAGATTGATTTAATCATCAGAAACTCAAAATATTATGTTATCTGAACTACATAAATTATTTAAGTTGATTTAACAAAAGAAAAATTGTTGTGATTACAAATCATGAACATATTTTGGCGAATAGAAATTTGTCCAATGAGATTCTTTCTACACTCTAAACAATGCTGGGTTGTTTCAACCAAAATTTGGGTCAAATATGGACACCCAAATGTTGGGTTAAAAATGTACTTTAAAAAATGTACAGTTGAAAGTGAAAGTTGGGTTAAAATTTGAAATTATATTTATAACCCAACACTTGGGTTTGTCCATATTTGACCCAAATTTGGGTTAAGACAACCCAGCATTGTTTACACTGTAGAATGAAAAGGATTTGTAATAGCAAGTAACAAATCATAGTTAGTTGGGTGTGTTCAGCTGTGCTAATGCTTGTCACGATTTGATACATATCACCATACTGGACTAAATTTGGTGTTACATTGTGGGTGTAAATGAATAGGCTTGGACTTGGAGCTGCTAACCCAATGCACAGGACAATACACTCTAAAAATGCTGGGTTGTTTCAAACCAAATTTGGGTCAAATATGGACAAACCCAAATGTTGGATTAAAAATGTAATTAAAAAAAAAATGTCATTTGAAAATGAAAGTTGAAGTTGGGTTCAAATTTTAAATTACATTTTTAACCCAACATATTTGGGTTTGTCCGTATTTGACCCAAATTTGAGTTGAAACAACCCAGCATCGTTTAGAGTGTATTGACACCAGATTAAAAATATTCATGATTATTCACGAGTTATTTTAGACCAATACTTGCACTCAGTCACTCACTAGATATATTTAAAATAATGTTGACCACTTTTAACTGGTAACTTAAGACATTTGGCATTATCAGGAGCCATAAATATTCCCAGATTGCATTATTATACATTGTACTCTAAAAATTGCTGGGTTGTTTTAACCCAACTTTGGGTCAAATATGGACAAACCTAGCCATTGGGTTAAATTTTTTAATTACATTTTTAACCCAACGTTTGGGTTTGTCCATTTTTTGACCCAAAGTTGGGTTAAAAACAATCCAGCATTTTTAGAGTGGATATACTATATATAGTTTAATATAGTACTAACACTAAAACTCATTTTGGGGGAACTATACACAATACATATTATTGCTATCCACGATAAATGCTGTTTTTATCTCTTTATTTTATCACATGGTCGTGCTGGAAGAAAAGATTTGATATTTCAATGGGATCTTCCTGGTTAAAGACAGGATTAATCAATAAGCGAGTAGTACAGATGAATTCAGGTTGATTGGGACACTTTTTGCAATTGAGACAACTAGAAAAACGTGTCCCAATCATGAATCATGAATTCACTCCTACACTCTAAAAAAATGCTGGGTTGTTTTAACCCAAATTTGGGTCAAATATGGACAAACCCAAACGTTGGGTTAAAAATGTAATTTAAAATTTTAATGCAACTTTCACTTTCAACTGTAATTTTCTTAATTACATTTTTAACCCAACATTTTATTCTATATATATATATATATATATATATATATATATTGTGTATTGTGTGTATACACATCACAGTATATATAAATACATTATTAATGTATTATTAAATAATATTTTTTATTTTATAATAATACATTATACACTCAAAATTTGATGGGTTGTTTTAACCCAACTTTGGGTGAAATATGGACAATTTTTTTAATTACATTTTTAACCCAACGTTTGGGTTTGTCCATATTTGACCCAAAGTTGGTTTAAAACAACCCAGCATTTTTAGATTGTATAAATAATTTTTCAGGCGGCTGTTGAACAAGCTGCCATTTCATAGCTTTCAGAGCATCAATTGCGCGTGAAGGAAGTGTCTTGAACGTGTTTGAAAGTGTCTTCATAGCTTTCATCCGTGGAACAAGCCGTCAAGTTGGCTTTTGCAGGTCTGAGACTGTGACGTAAATTGCGGATTTTTGGGGGTATTGAAAATATATGTATACATTTCAATGGAAAACGTATTAAACCATGGGATTTCTAGTGGAGGTCCCACTGTTTCATTATAGCATCAAGTAAATATGTATTTTAGTATGGGTAGATGATTGCTAACTTGTGGTTGCGGGTAAGGTTGAATTTTTTGGCTAAAGAACTTTTTCCTTTCCTTATGCTACATTGGTGTGTGTGTGTGTGTGTGTGTGATCAGCCCAGTATGTCTATTTGATATTTTCTATCATGCAAAGCTGTGTGTGGTTCATTTACACGCTCATTTGAAGTGGAGGATTTAATTTCTCCACGGCACTTCCTCGCCTCTGAAGTTTCCCTCTTTCTGTTACTCTCTTCATCCTTCTCTCCCTCTCTCTCTCTCTCCCTCTCTCTCCCTACAGGTGATTTGAATAATAATGTGTCAGACTTCATTTTTATCATTTGATTATTCTTCTACCTTGTTCGTCCTTCTCATCTCTCTCGCTCTTTTTCTTTCTGTTTTAAATGACTTGCATGCATAATTAGTTTGTAGTCTCGGTCCCGCTGTTATCGTGGGCTCATTAAAAGCAGCAGCAGCAGTCACTTGTGTGAATCTAATCTAATATGAGCGGACAGGTCGTCCCAGCACCGGCTACGGGGACGCGTGGGCTCCTGGGGACTGATCTAAGCCCAGATTCTCTACGAGACCTGCCTTTACCAAAAGGAAACCCACTTCTGGCTTGATATCAGAGCGGGAATGGGAGAGAGAGAGAAAGTGTGTGTGGCACCTCGAGTGTCTGGTTGGTTATCAGCGCTCAGCAGATTCCTGTGCAGACTAAAGAGATGCTCTGAAGAACAGCTGCTTTTTCTGAAAGTGGGTCAGAATAGTGTAGTGCTGAACGTTAGTGAGCGCTTCCCCAATGTAAATATGTTACACTATCCAGAGAGAGAGAGAGAGAGAGAGAGAGAGAGAGACCGGTGAAAGCAGGACACAGAGCAGAGAGACAGGCATAAGAAATATAGGCACACACACACACAGACATGGTAGAGTCAGAGTGCTGGATTTGTCTGATTGTCTGATCTCTACCTGTGATGCAAAGCAAACCTTAAGTTGGGCACTATTTGAGGGGACAGACATTTGTAGTGGCTATCGAGTGCCCTCATTCAATCCCATAATGCACCGCAATAACAAGTTTAAAACCGTTGTACGCTCCACGGCTAAAGAATACCCATAATGCACTGTGAGAGTTCGGGCGGCGAATGAATTACTGTCTCGCCAGAAGATGCCGACTGCAGCTGAAACATCCATCCTACACACTCATCCATCCATCCATCCCACACACTCATCCATCCATCCATCCCACACACTCATCCATCCATCCATCCATCCATCCATCCATCCCACACACTCATCCATCCATCCCACACACTCATCCATCCATCCATCCATCCCACACACTCATCCATCCATCCATCCCACACACTCATCCATCCATCCATCCCACACACTCATCCATCCATCCCACACACTCATCCATTCATCCATCCATCCCACACACTCATCCATTCATCCATCCATCCATCCATCCATCCCACACACTCATCCATCCATCCATCCATCCCACACACTCATCCATCCATCCATCCATCCATCCCACACACTCATCCATCCATCCCACACACTCATCCATCCATCCATCCATCCCACACACTCATCCATCCATCCCACACACACACACACTCATCCATCCATCCATCCATCCCACACACTCATCCATCCATCCATCCATCCCACACACTCATCCATTCATCCATCCATCCATCCCACACACTCATCCATCCATCCCACACACTCATCCATTCATCCATCCATCCATCCATCCCACACACTCATCCATTCATCCATCCATCCCACACACTCATCCATCCATCCATCCATCCATCCATCCATCCATCCCACACACTCATCCATCCATCCCACACACTCATCCATCCATCCATCAATCCATCCCACACACTCATCCATCCATCCATCCCACACACTCATCCATCCATCCATCCATCCCACACACTCATCCATCCATCCCACACACTCATCCATTCATCCATCCATCCCACACACTCATCCATTCATCCATCCATCCATCCATCCATCCCACACACCATCCATCCATCCATCCATCCATCCCACACACTCATCCATCCATCCATCCATCCATCCCACACACTCATCCATCCATCCCACACACTCATCCATCCATCCATCCATCCCACACACTCATCCATCCATCCATCCATCCCACACACTCATCCATTCATCCATCCATCCATCCCACACACTCATCCATCCATCCCACACACTCATCCATTCATCCATCCATCCATCCCACACACTCATCCATTCATCCATCCATCCCACACACTCATCCATCCATCCATCCATCCATTCCACATACTCATCTATCCATTTATCCCACACACTCACCATCCATCCATCCATCACACTCATCCATCACACACACTCATCCATCCATCCCTCCCTCCTAAATTCATTTTTAATTGATTATTAAATTGTTTTATAGATCCTAGTTTCCATGTCATACTTTTCTTCATTACTATTGGAGCTTCCAATTTGCCAATTTTCAAATAATTATTAAACAGCAAACACAAACTATTCAAAAGCAGCAGCGCTTCCCACACGTTTTCATTCACTCACAAAGTGCGCTGTGGACGAGTGTCGGGAATAGTGAATTATAGGTCATGATTGCGAACACTGCCCAAGACTATCATATAGTATTCTGTTGTTTTACTAATACTCTAATAAGGGTTATTTGACATAGTTGAGCAAAGTTACTTATAGTTAGTAAAATATCTAAAGTGGACCATCGAAATAGTGTTAGATATACTATTTTTAATATTTCACCTGAAACACCTGAAAGTGGTGTGTGCATGCGGATGAGTATAGTGGTTGTCTAAGACGTGGTTGTTTGCTCTGGAAGTGTGTGTTTCACACAGTAAGTACGAGTGAAGTCGTCCATTTGCCTCTGCCTTCCCAGCATTCCACACATCGCAGCGCAGCTCATGGTCTCTGGAGCTCGAACGCTAATGACACATTACGAGCTCAAAGCCTGTCGTTTATGATAAACAAACCAGCCCTGCTATTTCCAGTCCTGCTGTATGTTCAGTGTGTGTAAACATGACGCTGAAATTGCTCCTGAGATTGCCTTCTGTTGCAGTTTTATGGATCGACTGAAAGGTTTGTTTGAGCTCTCGTGATTCACGGCTGAAACACGGTCACTTGCACTATAGTAGTCTACACGTAAATGTGTGCGCTGGTGCCTTTGATAACAGCATTGATCTGGATACCACAGATGTTTTTCATGTACTGTGCTTTTGAAAAGGTGTTAACATCTAGCTAAAGCCATTACCTTCATTATTACACACATATACCCACAAGAACACCCGTTTTTGTTTACTGAGGAAAGAAATGAATAAACGTTGTAGTGCAGTGGGTTGTGGGTAAGCATATAACTCCCAGCAGAAATCATGCATCATTTACACACGATGTTCAACCTACTGTGCTTTGGGGCTCGTTTGAATCTCACACACTTATTTATATTTAAAATAGCTGGTATTGGAATTGGGACGCAGGGAGAGTCTCTCCCTCTTTTCTTGCTGTAGAAGTTAGAAATGAGAGAGTGTGTGTATGTGTGGAGTCTGAATCACTCTGGGCTGAACGAGATCATGAAAATCAAATCATTCTGCTGTGTGTGTGTGTGTGTGTGTGTAAGAGAGAGAGGGATAACATTGAGTTGAGACATGTTCAGATACAGAGAATACAACTTGATTTCAAGCCGAGGTGTGTGTGTGCGTGTGTGTAAGTGTGAACATATCAAATCTCTGTCCAATGTGAATGATTTGTGCAGTGTGGTGTATATTCCAAGTGTTAATGTTCACATTGATTCATATTTCTGTCAAACATTATGTCTGTTCATGTTTTTTTTTATCATTTCATGTTTCATTTTGTTCTCTTCATGGCTCGTTTTCCTGTTTGATTTCTTTCATTCTTTAATTTCATCTTTTGTTTGGTTTTCAGTTGATTTTATTGGTGGATTTGACCCATTCCCACTCTACCATGTCAATGAGAAACCATCTCATCTTCTGTTAAAGCCCGTGCATCAGTAAGTACCTGTGTGTGTGTGTGTGTGTGTGTGTGTGCGCGCGCTTGAGTGTGTCCAAGCTAAATCTGATAAAACTTCCTCTTGGGGACAGTTAGTAATGTCATCAGTTTGAAAATCGTTCTATAAATTTAAAAATCATTTTTTTTAATACATAGGTTAAATTTAGTTAAATTTACAGTCAAAATAAAAACAACGCTTTCTTTCCCTAAAGTAACTTTCAGTGAATAGTTCGGTAACACTTTACTTGAAGGGGTGTGCATAAGTTTGCATAAAACATGCAAACATGCATAAGTTTTATGCATGTTTGACAACTGTTATTAAGTGTCATTTGCTCAATTATGACATTTTTAATGCAAATATGACATTGTTTGAGATGTCTTTGTTATGACACCTTGACATAAACCAATACATCATAACCTGTCAGTGCCTTTGTCATGATAACTTGCCATTACTTAAGACAACACAACCTGTCATAAACATCACATAGCAGATTAATTATCAAACTTAAGAAAAAGCACTTAGCTTTATGGGTTAACATTACATTAAACTGTCAGGTGGTTGGTTTTGACATTGGTTGTCATGAAGCCATTATAACTTTTTAATGACAAAATCAATTAGTATCACTGTGGTTGAGGTCACGAGAAATATTCATGACACAGTTATAATGCCCTCATGACAGCCAATGTCAAAGCCAACCACATTTTATGTCAAGTTATCATGACAAAGACACTGACCGGTTATGATGTATTGGTTTATGTCAAGATGTCATAACAAAGACATCTTAAACAATGTCATATTTGCATTAAAAATGTCATTATTGAGCGAAAGACACTTAATAACAGTTGTCAAAACATGCAAAAAACTTCCAAATTCATAACATACTGTATGTCATGTCATGATTATGAAGGTGTCATGTCAGTCTTATGCACACCCCTTCAAGTAAAGTGTAACCAAGAGTTCTTAAAATAACTATAATTATAGTGTGAAGATCAATAATCTGAAGAATCTTTTTCCAATGGTTGTTAAAAGTTGTGTAAGGAACCATCGATGCCAGTAAACATCCTTAATGTGTGACTGTGAATCCAGTCACATCCTCTGTGTGTGAAAAAGGTCAGACAGATCCTCTTACACATGTCCCTGCTTGCCCCTTATCTAAAGCATTAATTAAACTTAGTTTTCTTTTAATTAGTGTAAGTTCTTAATTAGCACTTCAATAAGCATTCTGACCTTGTCCAGCGAGGGATTAGTGAAATGTCTGAAGCTAAATCGAACAGTAAAGAACTTTTATATCAACTAATATGTGTTGTTGTTGGCAAATATTACATGTGTGCTATCAGTATAAGCTCTATAAGTTTAAAGGAGTAGTTCACTTTAAAAAAAATGTTGCTGATAATTTACTCACCCCCATGTCATCCAAGATGTCCATGTCTTTCTTCCTTCAGTCGAAAAGAAATTAAGGTTTTTGATGAAAACATTCCAGCATTTTTCTCCATATAATGGACTTTAATGGGAACCAAACGGTCCAAAAGACAGTTTCAGTACAAACTGCAAACTGTTCAAAGGGCTTTAAACGATTCCAGATGATGAATAAGGGTCTTATCAAGCGAAACGATCGCTCATTTAATAAATAAATAACAAAGTTTAAGTTTTATAAGCTCAAATGGTCGCCTTGCTCTGTTCTGTGATGCGCATTCGTGACTCTCCTGTTCGAACTCGTTTAAAATCAAAATGAACGAATCTTTTTTCTTGTCATTTGGTTCATTCAACGAACGAAATGAACGAGTTGACTCTGGAAAAGATTCGAACAACGTCTTTTGGACCTTGAACCGTTTGGTTCCCATTGAAGTCCATTATATGGAGAAAAATGCTGGAATGTTTTCATCAAAAACTTTAATTTCTTTTCGACTGAAGAAAGAAAGACATGGACATCTTGGATGACATGGGGGTGAGTAAATTATCAGCAAAGTTTTTTAAAAGTGAGCTACTCCTTTATCATGAAAAGTGCCATGTGCTTCCATGTTACATTTAATTTTTTATCAAGAGAACTATGCCAGGACTTTGTGCTGCAAAACCAGTTAATGTCAGATCTTGCTTTAAACGCTGGCAGCCGGAAGCGGCACACTGTTTGGCCAACTCACACATTTCTCATTAGTTATGTGCCAAGTGGAATAATAGCATCTTCTGAAGAAATAATAAAAACAAAAATCTGTTTTGCTTCTCAAGCCAGACTGCTGAAAACGGAAGTGTAAAAGTGTGTCATGCACTCATCAAGCTAGAAGTTCAGAGCTAGCTATTTTTTGTGGTTTAGTTTTTCATTGTAGAGTCGTACAGTGTGTTTTCTACCTGCTGCTGTCTTGCGTGGTTTCATCTTTAGCATATGGAGAATATGGATCAGTGGAGTGGTCCCTCTGAGACCGGGTCTGGCCTCATTTCAATAAGCCTTAAATTATGCAGGATTTGTAATGAGCGTCTGCAAAAGAAGCCTTTTCAATATGTGCACATGGAGGGGCTAAACACATTATTTGCCCTAGGGACATTTTTCATGACAGTTTAATCAGACTAGTTGCAAATGAGAGAAGCACTTGTCCCGTCTTTAGATACACAACCATTTCACGGTCTCAGGGAGTTTAATAAATCACCCAGCAGGTACGTGTGTGTGTTGGGAATAAGTTTAAACTTCTAGTACTGTAATTAGAGGTTGATGGGAAGTGGATTTTGCAGATAAAGATGTCTAAGGTGGGAAAACAGGCCAGTAATCGTATGAATCGGCTGATAGTTTATTTGACGGTCAATAATATGAATAAAAACTTTCTACTCTATTAGTGTAAATAGTGCTAAACTCTATTATGCATTTAACAATAACAACTTAACCATAACATTATATTGTAATATTTAAATAAAATAAAATATCTGCCCTAAAAAAAGTTTGGGGTAAGTAATATTTTTTTTTTTATAATTCTGAGAAGATGTGTCACATGATCCTACAGAAATCATTCTAATATGATGAACTGATGATCGAAAAACATTTATTATTATCATCAATATTGAAAACAGTTGCTTAGTATTTTTGAGGAAGCTGTGAAAGTTTAGAAAATGCATTTATTTGAGATGGAAATCCTTTGTAACATTATAAATGTCACTTTTGAATAATGTTATGCTTCCTTGTAGGGTAAAATATTAAAGGGATAGTTCACTTTGAAATTAATTTTTGGTATGTTTTAGCTTACCTCAAGGGCATCCGAGATGTAGGTGTCTTTGTTTCCGAAGTATTTTGATATTTATAGGTCAAACCGTTCTTGTCTGTCAGTCATATAATGGAGGTCTATGGTCACCACCTCAAAGAGCATGCACAGAGAAGTCCAAATTAAACATGATTTAATGACTCGTAATTGTAAGTACACATTGACGGCCTAAGACACGAAACGAGCTGTTTGTGTGAAAAAACGAACAGTATTTATATCGTTTTTACCTCTTTTAACCACAGCCACGTCCAAGTGAGCTAAGGGCACAGGGGATTTGTGGTTACAAGAGGTAAAAACGATATAAATACTGTTCGTTTTTTCACACAAACAGCTCGTTTCGTGTCTAATTTGGACTTCTCTGTGCATGCTCTTTGAGGTGGTGACCATAGACCTCCATTATATGACTGACAAACAAGAACGGTTTGACCTAAAAATATAAAAATTGAAACTACTGCGGAAACAAAGACACCCACATCTTGGATGCCCTTGAGGTAAGCTAAAACACACCAAAAATTAATTTCAAAGTGAACTATCCCTTTAATGTCTTCTTATTGACCTAAAGTCTAAAGTTATGAATGGTAGTGTATACATTCAAATTTAACCAAATCTATCCAAAAAAACATAAAATAAACTGAAAATTAAGTAAAATAAAAAGTGACATACATAATTAAAGAACCACCAGCAACCATCAATCTGTCGAACCGAAATATGGGTTCACTCTAATAGCATTTCTCTGTGTGTGTTTTCCAGGTCTTCGTAAATGAGAGGGTGTCCTGAAGAGAAGCCGTTCTGCCCGTTCCTCCTCTCTCCCGCCTCTCCTCTGTTTAAAGAGTGTCAGCTCTGGACGAAACACCGCCTCATTTAGACACTTCTACAAGTGGCTGTAAAGCATATCTAAAGAAAAAAGGTCCTGTGTTCTGAGCGGTGTTGTGTGTGGTCTGTGCACTTGAGTGTGTGTGAGGAGGGCCAGTGTGTGCTGTTTACCTTCACACAGGATGAGCGCAGTAAAACAGAGGAGCGAGCCGAGAGGAGGACAGGGGGCACGGGACAAAGCCAGTCAAAAATAGAAGCAAAGAAATAACATAGGGCTGCCAAACGATTAATCGCGATTAATCGCATCCAAAATAAAAGTATGTGTTTACACAATATATGTGGGTGCACTGTGTATAATTATTTTATAAATACACACACATGCGTGTATATTCAAGAAACAAATATTATTTAATATATAAAATGTTTAGATTTATATATAATATAAATTATATATAAATCTATATACAATATATATGAAAATATTTCTAGAATATATGCAAGCATGTGTGTGTATTTATATATATATATATATAAAATAATTATACACAGTGCACCCACATATGTAAACACAAACTTTTATTTTGGATGCGATTAATCGCAATTAATCGTTTGGCAGCCCTAATAAATACATGACAGAATTAGATTTTCTGAAATTTGTTTTATGTCATAGTGTGATGTACCATTCTCATGATTGACTTTCAGATTCAGTTTTTGGTTTTAGATTCATGCAGTGATCCCTGTATTTGGACACTCAAATCACACTAAACAGTGTATGTCATGACGGTAGGTCAGATATGTGTTATACACACTCAGTCGGGTTCTTTATGCCAAAATGGTTCTATAATACTCTTGAAAATAAAGGTTGTTTATGTCCATTGATGGTTCATTGAAGAATCTTTAAAGAACCTTTCCATTGCACAAAAGTGGGAAATGGTTTTTTTTTTTTTTAGGAACTGTTCAGAAAGTTTTTGGGGGAACCAAAAATGGTTCTTTTATGGCATTCCAGTGTTGGGGGGGGAACACATTACAAGTAACGCGGGTTATGTAATCACATTACTTTTTCATGTAACTCGTGTAAAGTAACATATTACTTTTAAAATTACAAAATATCGGAGTTACTTTTTCAAATAAGTAACCCAAGTTACTTAGTTTTCCCATGTATTGACTTACAGCTCTCTGTCGAGAGAAGGTGCAGAACATGACGGTTATTGTTGTTCTAGACTAAATTTGAGCATTTATTAATCTCACACAGATTCAGTATTCTTAAAAAAAAAAACTCGTTTAAAAATACAAATGAACATTATGTATTTAATCTCACTTTATATGTCTTTGTCGCTGACCTGATGATCCAATTCAATCATACGAATAATAATAAGCAAAAATTTTCTTGTGAAACAACAAGCAAGCCTAGGTGAGAAAAAGTGACAGAACATTTTTACAAAAAAAGTAACTACACTGTAAAAAAAAAAATCTTTTCATGATTTGTAATCACATTTTTTTCTTTTGTCAAATCAACTTAAATAATTTATTTAGTTCAGATAACTTATTATTTTGAGTTTCTGATGATTAAATTAATCTCCTTCATTGTATTAACTCGTTTTTTCCATTTCAATGAACTTTAAATTTTAAGGCAACCAGGTTACTTACTTTAAGTTAAACCAACAATATTTTTTTTTACAGTGTAAGTAATGTAATTAGTTACTTTTTTAGGTAGATATGTAATATTGTGACACATTACTTATAGTAAAAGTAACTTTCCCCAACATGGATGGCATTATAAGATTTTCTGGAACCTTTATTTTTTAATGTCTTCAACGACTGCATAATACTCCCATGTTTAATGGGTTATTCAATTATTTTCTGTTATAATAAGCTGCTTAATTTAAAAATTAGCTGATTAAAATGAAAATGATCCCATGATGGAACCCCTAAAAGGTTCTATATATGATGCGTCTGGTTCTAGAACCTTAAGAGTGACTGAAAATCGCCTTGCCACTTTTATTTGCAGATGATTCTTGCTTTGATATTTTGTATCCGATGCAATGAAATGTGTCAATTTTAAGTGTGACTTAAGTGTTCAAACATTTTGGGGTCACTGTCAGTATTTTTAATGTTATTAAATCATCATTTATTGCACAGTGTGTTTGTATAATCAGCCTTTAGATCTAACAGAAACTAGTTGGGCAGTATACAATATACTACATAGCCTCATTTGAATGGTGCTCGTAATCAAATATCAGTTGTCTGTGAGCAAAAATCGTCAGCATGTGGTTTATATGAATTTGGAAACGGTTGAGTGGCTGTCAATGTCTTTCACTGTAGATGCAGAGCTACTGTAGCTTTTACTGGAAACATAAACCTCAAAGCACAACTGATTGACCTGACATGCAATGTTAAATGTATAATAGTGTGTGTGTGACATGTTTTGGAGAGAGGGGCTGTCTATTTCTTTGTAAAGTGAGATGTGAAGGCCAAAAGTCAGTATGAACAAGCCTTTAATGTGTCATATCATGAGATTTGTGCACTGGCCTGATGGTGAAGGACACATCATGCTCTTAAAGGAGAAGTTCACCATTGCTTTACCTGTATGTCCTGGTGGAGAACTTTTGAAGAATGCACACGTTGCTCTTTTACGTATAATTAATTAATACATTTTCAGATTTCATAAACGTATGCTCCATGAAGTCATACGATTGCGTATGGGAAAGAGTTACCGGAACATTCTGCAGAATATCTTGTTTTGTGTGTAACAACATGAGTAAGTGATGATCGATTTTATTTAAGGTGAACTACTCCTTTAAACATGGCACGGGCTCAGCGGAAGTTTTATTTTTATGAGTGTGTGTAACACTTCCAGACTTGCTGTAATGGTGGCCAGTTTTCTGTTAGGCTATCCTGCCCCCTAGTGTTCAATGTCCTTCTGTACACAACATCTCAACTCTAGGAACAGGAGCATTTTGTACCGCTCTCTGAAAATATCCATGTACATTTGTAATTGTAGATTTTAGCATATTGAATATATAAGCCAGCAATGATAGTCTTCTGCATATGTGTTATAATGAGAAAAGGAATGATATACATTTGTATCACACATTTTTCCCCTCGTCTTAATGGCTCTGTCTCTTTTTACAGGTGTTTTTTAAGCCCTTTTTGTATCTCTTCCCTGTGTTTGGTCTCTATTGTTCTACATTGACTGCCTGTCCATCAACACGTGTTTGCTGACCACAGTGTAAATAGATGTTTGTTAATAAAAGTCTGCTTTTCATCTACTGACCACACGTCTTGTTTTTGTCCTAATCTAATGGATAGGTAGGGACTCAACACGCCATACAATTAGTCCATATGAGTAGAGAGAGGCACTATAAGAGTGTCCACACACACTCCACCAAAGACAAGAGTCTGTCCTAACTATAATCTGACCAAACAGACATGCAACGTGTTGGACAGGAGATTTCAAGATACTACAAATCATGAATATAGTAGAAAAATAAAATGTAATTTTCTTGTGGATGGATTATTTTGATTTTATTTCAGATAGATAGATAGATAGATAGATAGATAGATAGATAGATAGATAGATAGATAGATAGATAGATAGATAGATAGATAGATAGATAGATAGATAGATAGATAGATTCTAAAATACACAAATGATCTTAGCTATCATTTTCACCTGTCGCTCTTCTACTGAATCATATAGATTTGCAAAAATATGACGTAGGCTTTATTTGATGTATGCTCTTCTTTTTCTTGGCAACATTTGCCCCCATCATGTCTTCAGTGCAGATATAAAACTGAACTTTTTATTAGGCCTCTGAACGCCTAAAAGCAATATTATGAAGCTGCAGACTCGGAGCCTGCATCTACAGTCCCCCAACGAGAGTCCCGCATTCTCAGAGCCCTCGTTTTTCGAACACAGCGCCTCCTGCTGTTCAAAAGATCGAATAACACCCGCACACAGAGTACAGCGCATTATCCAAATGCAATTAAAAACAAGAATAGGATGCAATATTACGGTCTTCAAATAAATTATCCAATAAATATTTGTGTTCCCTGCTTAATGCATGTGTCAAAAAAAAAACCTAATTGTTAGGCTACTGATGGAAGGGATACAATTAGCAGATTGAACTATCTTCAGAAAAATAGTAGGCTATATTATATTGCTACAATGTTTTTTTTATTATATTTTTTTATTCAAATTCCAATTTTTCTTTCAGTTAAACCTATAATGGTCTAATTAACATTACCATGCTAACATTACAATATCTGTTTTTTTGATATTTTGAATGCGAAGCAAAACAAATCAGAATAGACAAAACACCAATAATAAACAATTATGTACTTTATTTAATAATCACCTAAACATCATCTTGCTGTAAAGAAAAAAGGAAGAAAAAACAGTGTTTTGACTTTACTTTTCGTCTTCAATTGCATTAAAAAAACTCATTTATAAGTCCCTTTGCATAATCATAAAATGATATGTTGCTGGATTCGGCAGGGGCGACTCCATAGGACCGATAGCACATGTCTTATGATGTTTCAAAAAGAAAGAAAGAAAAAAAAGAAAAAATGTTTGCAAATGTTAGTTACTATGTTGCACTGCTCTGTTGAAGTGTCCCTTGAGATGTTTTTGAACTTTGGACAATTTTGTGGGTTTGAAATATATGGGGCACAAAATGGGCAGTGAAAATAACTGCAGCATTTAAGACATTTCTACAAAAAGTCCAAGGTTAAAGGCTAACGTAAACATAAGCTATCTAAATATTTTCGGGGAGAAGAGGACGAAAAAACATACATTAACGGCTCAAATCTTGTTTCAAACTATCTTTACAAACATTAAATGGACTATTCATATGTTGTATCGATGAGCTAAATTAGTTTTATTAACAAAATAAATCAAACAAATAGTCTACTACGAATCGCTAAATAAAATTGAAGATTTTATTTATCTACTTCACATGTTCTTCACATGTTTATCCGATACAATTTGATAGGAGGCGCTGTCTCGAAAAACGAGGGGTCTGAGAATGCGGGACTCTGGGTGCAGGGGGACTGTAAATGCAGGTCTCCGAGTCTGCAGCTTCATACTACTCCCTAAAAGTGCTGCCAGTAACCAGACCTGTCCTTCAGATGGCGATACACACGCGGCTAAGTCGACACACACACACGGTTGGCATAGAAGAAGAGGTTTTCTCGCGATGTAATGTTCCAATATGGCTGCCTCCTCGAGCAGTGCTGCCACTGTTACTCAGAGTGATCATTCCTCATTAGCCGAAGAACCAGAGGCAGAAACAGAGTTTTGTCCCGGATTCAAGGATGTCGATGCATTT